TCTGCATCCTAAGCTACATTTCATATACAAATTGATGTTATTATGTGTGTGTGTGTGTGTTCTCTGAGCATATTAATGATGTTAATAAACAGCAGACATTATTACCTCCGTCATCGAAGATGGACAGAAGTTATGTTTTCACCCCTGTGTGTTTGTCAGCAAGATTTCTCAAATGGCTGAATGGATTTTGATGAAAATTGGCATACATTTGACTATGACTCAATTCAGAAGTGATTACTTTTTGAAGGGTCAAAGGTCAAGGCCACAGCAAAGTCACAAATAAAAAAAATCCCTATCTGTAAACATGGAGACACTATTTGTGATCTATAGCTCAGTCAAAAATGATTGGATTTTGATAAAACTTGGTGGACATGTCTAGGATATCATTCCATATTGTCCTGCCAAAAATGGACCATGTTTGTTGATAAGGATGGACACATAAACACATTTTCGTATTTTTTGAGAGCCAAATATGATCAACACTGCAAGGTGGAGGTATACTCTCTACAGAAGTGCCCCTCTAGTCACATGTGTGTTCTCTGAGCACATTAATAATGTTAATAAATAGCATGACATTATTAATTGTGTGTCCTTTGAGCAGTTCTCTTGTCAGTTAATGTCTTGCTACTTGTTTTCCTTGTGATTTCATTATTTTGTGCTATTTTTAGGTTTATGATTTATGGATTGATTTTATAGTCTTTACTCTTAAAACCTTGACATGTAATTTCTGAATATTTATATTCTTGACATCTATTTTTTTTTATTAGGTTATTAATTTATTTCATGATTTTTCTAGACTTGAACGAGATTCTCTTGATTATTCTCGAGTCACTTTTTATGCCTTTAAACTTGGTCCTCCACCTTTACAGAGATATGGTAGACTGGCAAGGTAAGATATGTGTTCGGCATGAGATCAAGGTAATGCTTTCTGAAACAGAAATGTGTTTCATTTTAGGTTTTATTATAGTCTTGTTTTGTACATATCACTCTACATTTTGTTGCATTATTCGTAGAAATAAAGTGTAAATGATGTTACACATTGAAAACACTACCACAAAACAATGCTTCAGGTAAGCCTTTTTACATAATGAGTATTTTTACTTATTGAAAACAACTGAAATGCTGAAACTTACATATTTTGAGTTTCATTAATTTTTTTTCGTTGTCCAATACCTGAACTTTTGGTGCAGTTTTGCTGTGCTTGCTTCTCTTATTTATACATATAATTACAGCATAAATTCATTACAGTAAGTGCTTTGTTGATGTTGACAGATTAATTAGACTGGTATAATTACTACTACTACAGATAATTGCCAGCCAGTAATTAGTGTATAACTAGTCATTCAGTTTACAATGATAATGGTGTCTGGTCTCCCATGCTCTGTTTTTATTACTAATACACATTGTTTTTTTCTTTCAAACAAGTGAATACACACACACACACACACACACACACACACATGAATATTATACATGCCACTGAATACTGTGCATATTTTGTACATATGAATTTTATTTCAAGTGCAATTTTATTTAAAAAGAACATATATTTCATGTATACATATATTACCTGGAGCACTTAAAAATGCTAGTAATTTATTCATAGGGTAAAACTACGGTGGTTTACAGTTTTAATTAAATATTTTTATGCATTTTCTCTTTGTTAAAAATGTAAAATTGTTGATTATATTAAATAATGTTTTTGATTAACCTGCAGTGTAAAGAAAATATTGTTTTAAGCTATATATGTGCACATTTATGTCAGATCATTTTCAGTTATAGATGTGTACATTGATGTAAGATTGTTTTTAGCTAGAGATGTGCATGTTTATGTAATATTTTAAGCTATACATGTGCACATTAATGTGAAATAATTTTAAGCTATAAAACGTTTGAATGTGTTTTTATAACTGTCTGAGATGCAATTGTGTTTTTCTTAAAAATGTTTGGTCTGTAGACATTTTTGAGATATCATTTTTGATCAATATTGTGTTACTAACCACCTTAATGACTAAATATTATCAATCAAACTTGTGACACACAGATGTAGAAGTTATTAATAAGGGAGATCTTGTAATTTTGAAGATTGTTTATTTTGATAATTTGTTTTGATTTAATACTTGTAAACACATTTCCTGTAGGAGGACAGTTAACACCTTCTTGATGCTCACCCAGTTTGGATTTTGCTGTATATATTTTGTTTTTGTATCAACAAACATTAAGCATGTAAGTAGTTTAAAGAAGGTCATTTATTAATTAATATATTAATTTATATATAAGTTGAAGTTGAATTAAATTTGGAATTTAACTTGATGATGAGTAAGTGTTCTAAGATGATCAGTTTACAACATGTGAACTGCAGTCTTCTTTGGTTTATTAAGACTTAGAATTTAAAATCATAAAAAATATTCAACGTTAAACTGGTACACAAGTAAAAACATTTTATTTAGGCCTATCTATGGCCTTCAAAAAAGTTGACGACTCTACATGTTTCGACGTTACAACGTCATCCTCTGGAGTGAATTGCAAGACAATTGCAAAAGTATTTATAACTTGTTAGTAGGTCATTGACTTGTATGTTATTTTTATACATTCATTCTAAACCATTCAAAGGAGATCAATCCACATTCTTGCAGAAATATTCGCCTTACCTTCATCTCTATTTAATACTGCATGATTTTTTTATGTTTTATTATTTCTAACGATTAACGAATATTATTACCTATTATACTTTTAGGTTGAGCTAATATTACAGTTTTTTCAGTTAAATGTATTTCGTCTTTCATAATAACTAAGATTTGATTCATCTTATTTATCGGTTAAAATATCAAATGTTAGGTACTACGAAAGACAAAATACATTTAACTGAAAAAACTGTAATATTAGCTCAACCTAAAAGTGTAATGGGTAATAATATTTGTGAATCGTTAGAAATAATAAAACATAAAAACGATCATGTAGTATTAAACAAAGATGAAGGTATGGCAAATATTTCTGCAAGAATGTGGATTGATCTCCTTTGAATGTATGAAAAATAACATACAAGTCAATGACCTACTAACAAGTTATAAATACTTTGTCAATTGTCTTGTAATTCACTTCTGAGGATGACGTTGTAACGTTGAAACATGTAGAGTCGTCAACTTTTTGAAGGCCACAGATAGGCCTATATAGAATGTTTTTAATTGTGTACCAGTTTAACGTTGAATATTATTTATGATTTTAACTTTATACACAAGTGCCAAGAATATTTTTGTCAGCAACCTAGGATGTCTCTGTTATATACATAGCCATTTATCTGTCTCAATTTCATATCTATTTACTATTAGTGTACATGTGTAGATTTTTATTCTTATGGTCAGACTCAGTATGTTCACTAGGTGTGTTTACATAGAGAGGCTTGATGTTTTTATGTGCATACACACTGAGAACCTACGCATACACACTAAGAACCTATGTGTACACACTGAGAATCTACACATACACATTAAGCCCATACAGTCTCCACACAAACTCAAGTCTGTACACAGACACAATGATTTTGCTTGTGAACAAACTGAGTCTATACATAAACACACTGAGTATTTGTGTAAACACGCCATGAATCTACAAATAAGCACAAGTCTCCATGTAAACACACCTGGAGTGTTCATAGGTTCTTAGCGTGTATGCGTAGGTTCTTAGTGCGTGTGTGTTAACTTTTAAATGGTATATGTACAAATGTACATATAGACTTATTAGCTTGCTTTGTCTTTCAGGTGGTGTATAATTACACCAAAGCAGAAATTAGTATCCATGGTTACCTGAGTATCCTTCTCCCATTTGTCATCTTGCTATCCATGGCTCGGAGTTTAAGACACCTAGCGTTAGCTTCTACAATAGCCAATGTTTTACAAATTCTGGGGCTGTGTATCATCTTTTTTAACTTATTCCAGCACCTTCCACCTACTTCCTCAAGACCACTTACTGAATCTCTATCAAAGTTTCCCCTCTACTTTGGCACAACAATCTATGCTTTTGAAGGAATTGGAGTTGTAAGTAATGTAGAAGATTTAAAATATATTAAACAGGAGGACTTTGTTTTCTTGAAAACTAATTCCAAATTATAATGCTATCATAACTAAAAATGGATTTAGTAATGCATTTTAATGTTAATTAAGTCAGGTCCAATATATTTAAGGTGGTTTTATTAATGCTTTTTAATATTAATTAAGTCTCTGTGATCTTTTGTATCCAGTTAAACAGTTTTCCTTACCCAAAGCCTTATAAGACAGGTGAATTGAGTAGGATTTGTTACTAATATATACATTATTAAATATGACACTTTATGTAACACTAAACATTTTATATTAACTCTGATCTTTAGAACTTGTGTATTTCTGTCGTTTATTGTTTAAACTAGAATAAAGCTTTTAAATTAATCTTAATTAACCTTCAGTAATAATTACAGTACCAAATCTTTCTATTGGTTAAAATTAGGTCTGAACATCTTACCAGAATAATTTTTATCTTAAAGAGTATCAGGCTATTTGATATAGCTATAAGCATACAGTATCTTAATGGCATAAATACACATTAGTTTGTGTAATCATCTCTTTATGTACTGTAGTCTCTTAACTATTAAATAAAAAATGCTAAGTTCTAAAAGTAACATTTAAACCAAACACAGTGAAGTTCTGCACTGGCTATACATAACAATCACAACCAAGAGTAACGATGTTGTTCATTGGATTTATGTAACGTCAGTCTATTTCTATTATTTAAGACATTATAACAATAAAAACCAGGAATATGCTGTGGCTTTATATGAAAATGTCAGCCTCTTTCTACTGTCTGGTTATGAAGTGGTTCAGTACGTTATCTCTTTCAGCACGGGCTCGGTTCCTGGGACTGACCTCATAACCATTTTGTGTTTGTTATAGTTTTCATGCTATAACTTTTAAATTAGTAAGCTTATGTTAAGGAAATTTGGCAGATTATCAGTAAACATTACAATGCTTTCATATGCAAAATATCATTTTTTTTTTATTTAGTCTTAAGGTTCATAAAGCAATGTTTTTCTCATGCCTTCTTTTTCTTTTCGCATGTTGCCTATCCAACATGCAAAGTAATTTTCATTTTAAGATTAAAAATACTTTTATGCATCAGAAAATTTTCAAATTTCACATGCGAAATATTTATAATGTCCAGATAGTTATCAAATGTTTCTTAAGAAAAACTTTATATTTTATCTGTTATTTTCAGTAACGAATCTCTGTACAGGTTCGGTGGATTTGACTGATCTCGTAACCAACATAAAAAATTAGGAAATAAATATAATTTATGCCTTTTTCATTCTAGAATGACAACAAATTGTAATAAGAAAACATAATTATCTATACTAAATAGCTTAAATCTCATAACATTATTCAGTTATATATATATTTATTATTTTTATTATATTGACCTTTCAGCCGTGCCTGACTAACAATACAGAAGTTACAATGATGCGGCACACGTGCACTCATGTTACCATATCCATAAATATTTATACTAAATAGCTTAAATCTCATAACATTATACATTTATATATATTTATTATATTAACCTTGCAGCCATGCCTGGCTAATAATACAGAAGTTACAATGATGTGGCACACATGCACCCATGTTTCTGTATCCAATAACATAAAACTAACCTTTGGTCAGTACAAAGTGACCTGTCTTGGCTGTGTTTTAGTAGACTAGTATTTTGTAAAATATAGTCACATTTTAATTATTATACATCATATATGTATATAAATTATTGCTATTTTGAAGTAAGTTCTTAAACTTATTTTTCTTAAAACATCGAACAGTAAATAAAGAAGTAAAACAAACAATTATTTCTTCTAGTTATAACCTTTGTACTTTGTTGCTACTTGATGTAGGTTGCTAAGCCTTTTAAAATTTTGCACATGAAAGAAAATAATTTTTTATTTAGGTTTTATATATACACAGTTGGATAACCAAAAAATCATAAATTACTAAATCAACACCATAGAATCCCAGTATAATTTATCAAGCTTAGTAACTAAGCTGTATATTATGAAATTTCGAGCAGACTAAAGACACAACCTACCTCCTCGAAATCTTGGTTTGAAAAAAAGAAATGATGTCCTAGGACTTTAAAATAGCTAAGAAAGCCACTAGGGGGACATTCTGAACTTTCGATTGATTATTCATGTCATGTATAGAAGTAAGTGTATATAAGGGAGTGTTTCCAAAATCGAAAGAGGTGGGTGGGATGCCACTGTGTTTGATTTATTACATGAGCAATAATATCTTAGCAAATTGAAAAGATAAGAGGCTCTTATTTTATATTCTATTTTATCAATATTGGTAATTTGAGTTTGTAATTCATACGAAACTATAGACTTAGTATTTTGACATCACAAACATCTAATTTGAACCAGTGCTGCATTCAACATACCACGTGACACACAAAAATCGATGTTTATCTCTGACTTTTTTTAATTTTAATTGTTTTATTATTAGAAGTTCAGTATCATGTTTAGGTAAATCAAGTGAAGGATGTGTATTATATAGGGATGGAAGAAGAGTTTTTATGTATAATGTTTTGTTTATTAGAAGTTCAGTATCATGTTTAGGTAAATCAAGTGAAGGATGTGTATTATATAGGGATGTGTATTATATAAAAATGTTTTGTGTTTACTACATTATGACAATTACAAAAGCTAGCTTGTAGTTTGTGTAGTTTTATGGTTACATGGTGGTTACAGGGTCAATAAAATTGATTCAACCAATTCAGAGAATTTTATGTTTTAAATTTTGGAAGTCTCATTTTGGTGGTTAGGTGCTTCCTCTGGAAAATGAAATGCAGACTCCCCAGGACTTTGGAGGTTGTAATGGGGTTCTCAACACTGGCATGATTATTGTGTGCTGCTTCTATGTAGCTGTCGGTTTCTTTGGATACCTGAAGTTTGGAAAGGATGTGAAAGGGAGTGTCACATTGAACTTGCCAGCAGAACCGTTAGTATGTTATATGAGACGTAAGAAATGTGTTGTACATGCTTTGAGTTTGTTTTAGTTTGGGAAAATGTTAGCAATGTTGAAAACCAAACTTTGATTGTTTAACTTGTGTGTGTGTTCAATAGATGTTTGTTTTCTAGAGTTTATGAACTGGTACACATAATGTTTGTTTAATTGCGTGTATAGTCAATAGATGTTTGTTTTTAGAGCTTATTAACTGATACACATAATGTTTGTTTAACTTGTGTATATGTACAATATATGTTTATTTTTTAGAGACTATTAACTGGTACACATAATGTTTGTTTAACTTGTGTATATGTACAATATATGTTTATTTTTTAGAGACTATTAACTGGTACACATAATGTTTGTTTAACTTGTGTGTATACACAATATATGTTTGTTTTTTAGAGACTATTAACTGGTACACATAATGTTTGTTTAACTTGTGTGTATACACAATATATGTTTGTTATTTAGAACTGGTACACATAATGTTTGTTTAACTTGTGTGTATACACAATATATGTTTGTTTTTAGAACTTATAAACTGGTACACATCATGTTTGTTTAAATTTTGTGTATAGTCAATAGATGTTTGTTTTTAGTGTTTATGAACTGGTACACATAATGTTTGTTTACATTTTGTGTATGATCAATTGATGTTTGTTTTTTAGAACTTATGAACTGGTACACATCATGTTTGTTTAAATTTTGTGTATAGTCGATAGATGTTTGTTTTTAGTGTTTATGAACTGGTACACATCATGTTTGTTTACATTTGGTGTATAATCAATTGATGTTTGTTTTTTAGAGCTTATGAACTGGTACACATCATGTTTGTTTACATTTGGTGTATAATCAATTGATGTTTGTTTTTTAGAGCTTATGAATTGGTACACATCATGTTTGTTTACATTTGGTGTATAGTCAATAGATGTTTGTTTTTTAGAGCTTATGAACTGGTACACATCATGTTTGTTTACATTTGGTGTATAATCAATTGATGTTTGTTTTTTAGAGCTTATGAATTGGTACACATCATGTTTGTTTACATTTGGTGTATAATCAATTGATGTTTGTTTTTTTAGAGCTTATGAATTGGTACGCATAATGTTTGCCATTGCCGTCTTCTTATCTTATGCGATTCAGTTCTACGTCCCTCTTCAGTTTATCTGGCCTTTCATCAGAAAAAAGCGTAGGTTGGATGACTGGATGTCAATGAAGACTCAAAGGATATGGGAGTATGTGCTTCGGGCATTACTTGTCCTCGTAACATGTAAGTTAATCCAGGGTATAAACCACCATTAAGGATCAATATTTCTTTTTTTTCCCAGAGACTGTTTAGTAATGTTCTGTGTGTTTCTGAAATTGTAAAGATTTGAAATTTGGAAATGATGATAGAGAAATCCATTCCTGTTTTTCAGATTGCCTCGCTGTAGCCATCCCACGACTTGATCTTTTCATTTCTCTGGTTGGAGCCATGGCTAGCAGCAGTCTTGCATTAGTGTTTCCATGTCTTCTTGAGGTGATTGTTTTTTGGGATGATGACATGAGTAAGTAGCAGGAAAGTTTTTATTGATTTTAATCCCTTGTTTCTACTATCCATGCATACAATTGTCAATAGATATCACAACTAATAGTGAGAAGATAAAAGAAATGCTTGTTGTTATTTTGTAAAGTAAACCCTTGGTGGGCACAGCACAGTCAGCCCACATTGTGTAGCTTTGTGCTTACCATCAAAGAAAGTTTTCAGTCACATTGAACTCATACCTGTAGGTATTCTTTGTCCTGACATTAAATGTTTGAAGAAATGAAAAATCTGAAGGTTGATACTTTATTCAATATAGTTGTAATGTAATTCCTAAAAACAGAAATGTAAAATAAAGTTTTATTTCATCATGCAGATAATTCTAAATAATGAAAGTTACTAAATTATTAATCCAGGCTTTGTAAAAGGAACAAAAACCATTAAAATGACCACACATTTCAAAATAAGATTTGTAAACAAAGCTGTTAAAATAAATGTACAGTTTAGAACTTTTTATTTTGGAATAAAACTAAAAATAAGCTTACAATGTATAATCTTCTGGTTTGTTAACAAAATACTGTCCCCCTCTTTGTTTTACCTGTGCACTGTCCAGAGAGTTGTTTTAAGTTAACAGTAAAATATTATCCCACATAAGAGACATGCTATGAGTTGAGGTTAACTTTAATAACCATTTTTTCCCCAGTGCTCTAATTCCAGTGGTATCTACTTAGAGCTATAATTCCAGTGATATCTCCCAGGTGCTCTAATTCCAGTGGTATCTACTTAGAGCTATAATTCCAGTGATATCTCCCCGGTGCTCTAATTCCAGTAGTATCTACTTAGAGCTATAATTCCAGTGATATCTCCCCGGTGCTCTAATTCCAGTAGTATCTACTTAGAGCTATAATTCCAGTGATATCTCCCCGGTGCTCTAATTCCAGTGGTATCTATATAGAGCTATAATT